GGATGTCAGCAAGCATGGTGTGCCATGAAGGAAGGCTGTATGTTTTGGGAGGTGTCATCCCCTCCACTGGCAGATGCCACTTGTATTATCAGTTGAAACATTTGATTCTGAGCAAAATGAATGGAAAGAGAGATCAGTTATACCAGTTGATTGCTTTGAAACAAGTGAGGAAGAGAAACAGGAGAATATATTTAAAGCTTGTTCTGCAAAACTTTGCTAAGAGGTGATTGACAAACTTGAGCCATTAAATAAGTAGCGATCTCTCTGTTTTATCAGTGTGAGGCTTGCATCATTTTTAGGTGCAATAATTTTCATGAAAAGCACCATATCTTTCATTTATAGAAGCTGTATGATGAATGGCACATCTTGTAGCGTAATGTTTTTCCAATCGAGTTTTGTTTTTTAGTTTTTACTTAAGAATGACTGACGTCTAGCACCATTGATCTTCCTAAGAATACTAGTGATTGACATTAAGCTCTATCGATTGGAGTCTTACAATGTCATTTGAGACAACAACAGTAGTGATCGATGCTTAGCACTAATGATTGACCATTTTACCATGGCAACAGAAGCATTAATAACTTACAATTTGTTGTTAGAATTGACAATATGAAGTGTCTAACTATAGCAATTTGCATTTTTGGCAGATATTGCTCCGATCCCATAAGCATTTTGTTTAACGTTGGGTNGGGGGGGGGGTGAGGAAGTCTTTTTGTGTTCCTGAAATGAATATTGTTTTAAAGTTTTTGTGTAAAATCATTCATTAGATAACAAGAGTCTAACACCTTGTTGACTCAGAACATGTCTTACTTAATATGTCAGACATGAAAGGGTAGCCTGTTTTTGACCACATTTCCAAACATTGAGAAGAAAGGTGAAAGTACAATGTGCAGCGCAGTATTTTTGATGAACATTAAGGTGTTTGGAAATGTAGTCAAAAATGGTCTCAGGTGTTTGAATGATGTATCTTGTCGACAAAAACTAAAGCTAGGGAGAAAAGAGAGAAATGACATGGAAATACTCGAAATGCTAATTAGATCAGATATCCAACATGCAAAGAAAACAAATCTTCAGGTTTGTATAACTATGTACAGGGTTTGTACAGGTCCTGGAAAACCTGGAAAGTCCTGGAATTTTATTGTGGCATTTTCCAGGACTGGAAAGTCCTGGAAAAGGGCTACTGGTTCTGGAAAGTTCTGGAAATCTGTTAAACTCAAGTAAAAAAACATGAAATGTATGGCAGACAGTAAGGAGAATGAACATTAAGATAATGGGAGTGAAAGGGTTAATGTGAATTTTAGGGTCCTGGAAAAATCAATCTGAGTCCTGGAAAAGTCCTGGAAAAGTCCTGGAAAAGTCCTGGAAAAGTCCTGGAAATTTGTTTCTGAAAAAGGGTACGAACCCTGTATGTACCAGCCCGAATAGCATTCTTACCAGCCCCAGGAAGTTAATCACTAACAGTACTTCAATGTATTAGTTGAATTTCCTTAAAACCTTTTCCAAGAAACTTAGCTTCCCCATCAGTGAAAGTGATGACAGAATCCACTAGCTTGACTGAAAAATCCACTAGACCCCCCTGAGGCTATTAGACATGACTTTCTTTGCATGCTGGATGATATCCAAACACTTTCATCGGTTATTGTTTCCTTTGCTTCAACTTGATGGGTGAATAATGAGTCTACAAAGTACAGCTCTGAGGTTAAACAGCACAATCTACATGTTGCTAACTTTTGTGACATAAAATATCTTCTGAGGGACTAAAAGAAATGGTTATTATTAATATACAAATAATAATGAGAGTAGAATAATATGGCATAAAATAATTTCTGTGAAGTTTCATTAGATTTTAATTTGAGCTCCATTTGTATTATGTGGCAGATTAGTGCTTGAGATGACCTTGTCTTACATGATTCATTTGATATTACTAAATTTTGTAGATTAATGCAAGAACCAAAAGAAAAATGTGACATACCTACATTGTAAATAAGTTAACACATAGGTTGACACACACACACGCACACACAAAAAGATATAATAATAACATCTGCTGTTTGCTATTTTTGACTTATCCTCACGGCTCATTCGTTCAGCCGTTCAAAGTGACCAAGTTGTCTTTTTTGAAATATTTATCTTAATTACCGGTAAACCTTACATCTGAAACCAAGTTGTGTCAATGCTATATGCTTAGGTTAACCCAAACGAAGTTAGTCTGAGATGAAATTACTTCTCAATAATGAACAATACTGTCACTTCACACCCAGCTGTTACCAAGGTGTTTGTTTTTAACAATTATTTATTCTTAGTCTGGTATAATTTTCTAGCCTTCTCGAAGTAGTACCACATATTATTCAGATTCATTTGAGCAAATTTTGGTTATTTATAATAAGAGAGTCTATTATTATAACAGTAGAAAATTCATGCAATAACCAAAATTTGCTCAAATCTCCCAAGTATGACAAAAAATGGCATTCCTGAATGTTCTTAAGTCTTTATTCAGTGAATTAACCATACGCGATCGATTTCAATCTCATCTCCTGATCTACATGCAAACTCTGATCTTATATTTCAGCTCTTATTCTCCATATAAAGTCTTATATTATGCTTCCGTGACCAGTAGCTTTTCGCGTGAGTTTTCGCTGCGTGATAATAGGATTTGCGTGACTGATTGTCAATCGAAGTCGAGGCTCTGGTGCCTCACAAGATTGAAGATTCCGCAAAATTCCAATATGGAGGCCTCCTCTCAATCCATGCTGTCAGCTGATCCTTCGGAATATCGCCAAGAACTTGTCGAGCGTTTAAATATCCTGAGGAGAAACCAAAGTTTCTGCGATGTGAAAGTGGTCGTAAAGGACAA